CCATGAAATTAAAAGATGCTTGTTCCTTGGAAGAAAAGCTATGAAAAACTTATCATCTTAAAAAGCAGAGATATCACTTTATCAACAAAGGTCCATATAATCAAAGCTATGGTTTTTCCAGTAATCATGTACCGATGTGAGAATTAGACCCTTAAACCCTAAGGATGAGCACTGAAGAACTGATGCTTTTGAACTGTGGTGTTGGAGAAGACTCTTGAGAGTCCCTTGGACTGCAAGGAGATCAAACCAGTCATCCCTAAAGGAAATCAATCCTGAATATTCATTGGAAGGACTGATGCTGAAGCTCCAATACCTTGGCCACCTGATGCAAAGAACTGACTCACTGGAAAAGTCCCTGAATCTGGGAAAGATTGAAGGTAAGTGAAGGGAACGACAGAAGATGAAATGGTTGGATGGCATTACCAACTTAATGGACATGAGTTTGAGTAAGCTCTGAGAGTTTGTGGTGGACAGGGAAGCCTGGCGTGCTGCAGTCCATGGGGTAGCCAAGAGTCAGATACGATCAAGTGACTGAAAAACAATGAGCTCAATGACCAAATACAATGCAGCTATTAAAAACCATGGCATAGTGCAGGCTTTCCCAACTAGCACTACTGGCATTTTGGGCAGAATAATTTTCTGTCATCTTGTGTTGTTCTGTGCACTGTAGGCTCTTAACAGCATTCTTGGCCTCTACCCACTAGGTGCCAGGGGAACCCCTTTCATTAGTTGTTAATCAAAACTGTTTCCAGACATAAATGCGCCCTAGGGTGTAGACTCACTCCAGGTCAAGAGTTAGATTTAAAGTATTCTATACATAGAACACACACAATACACTAAAGAGAAAATGTGGTTATAAAAAGTATAGTCAGTAGGACTACATTATTTAAAAAATACAAAAGAAAACAAATAATACATGTATATAAGTATGTGTGGGTGGGCAGGAGGAAAAGGGGAGAAAGAGAAAGAAAATGGAAAGATACAGACCATTATTGTTGCTTGGATGGTAAGACTATAGATGATTTTTCCCCGTATAATTTTTCTATATAAATTCATATTAATTCTATGAACAGAGAAATCAACAAATCATCAATGCCACCCAGAAGTCAATCTCATTGTAAAACTGTCCTTCCCCTGAAAACTAATTCTGCAAAAGCAGAGAACTCCAGAGTAGGTGCGTTCTACTGAGGGGCGAGGGAAGTACCAATGCATAATACTGAGCCAAGCAGGCCTCATAACACTGCTCAGTAGAAGACAAAAATACGAGAAATTTAATTTGGATCGCAGTTTACATAATAATTAGCTACAGCTGTTGCTGTACATATTTATGTTCTGTTTCTCTCCCATTTTTCTTTAGGAACGTATATGTGGGAGACTTCCCTAGACTTGGAATGTTGTGAACCAAATTCCAATTACGGGAGTTAATGGTCAAGTGTAATAGTATATTTGGATAAAATTCAGGCAAACTTTCTTTCCCCACTCACATTTAAGGCTTAATGACATGAAAACTGAACTGAAACAGAAACATCCTAAAAGAACACTTATGGTCTTCCTATTTTCTGTGGTTCTAGTAAATTTAGCAACGTGGGAAAATGGATTGCTTGAGAAAATACTGTTTCCTATCATAACCCTGGGGAACAGGCACATGGCAGACGCTAACAAGTTTTTCCCGAATGAATGGATGTTACAAATATACTAATTCTGGGCCCAGCACCTACTCTGCCATTCCACTGCCCCCATATGCAAACAATCCTATGATGCAGATATTGATGTCCCTTTTCACAGATGGAAAAAATGAAGCTCCATCAGATCAAGTAACTTGCCCAGGGTCACAAGGTTAATAAGTTTCCATTACACAATTATGTTTCAAAGAATTTCCCTTGCCAACCACATTATTTGGATAAACATGCTTGTTGAAAATGAAAATACTAGATTACACACCAGTCTCAGCATTCATTTTTCCTATTCCTCCTTTTTCCACAAAGGACTGATTAGAAAACTGTCCTAATCCTACAGAGAACAGGGTATTTCATTTAAATACACATGTTTTTATTGCCACAATCCAATAATAATCTAACCAAGATGATGTGTTCAAGTGTCACATTTTGTCATCAGAAATGTATTGGTAAAATGAGAAGTGACACAGGAGAGTCAAGATGTAGGAAAGGGTGACTTAACAGAAAAAAAAGCCTTAAATGTTAACTAAATGATGTTTATGACTGTAGCCCACCAGGCTTCTTTGTCCATGGGATTTCCCAGGCAAGAGTACTGAGTGGGTTGCCGTTTCCTTCTCCACTGGCAGGCAGATTCTTTCCCACTGGAAGCCCAACTAAATGATAGATGTGACCAATTAAAACTACCTTACAGTAAGTTTAAGCTTTTATTTCCTTTCTATGTATGGGACTCAACAATTATATATCTTGAATGAACACTACTACCAAAACCCATTGTTAAGCCTTTAAGGCCAGATTTCTCCTCCGTCTGCATCAGTCTCAGAATATGGAAGGTTCCTGATAAATGTTCCAAAGCCATCTACCCATACGAAGCCACGTGTTTTCCAGTGAGGGTCTGACCATGAGTCTCCAGAGGACACAGATCAGCCAGGGCTGGAGGTCAGTGCCAGTAGCAGGCCTCCAGCAAGGCGAGTGTGTCTCCAGAAGGCGGAAGAGAAGGCAGGGAGCAGAGAACGCACAGGAGCGGGAGCAGAAGAGAGAGGATAAAGGCGGGCTGGCAGTCAAAACACTCTCACTTCTCCCAGCAAACTGGGGCGTCTCACTCACCTGATGAGTGCTGTTAGAACACTCATCCAGAAGTGGGGAAAAGGGGGCTTTCCTTATCCTCAAGCCTACACAATGCCACCAACCCAATTACGTGGGCCATGCAAGAAAAAACACACAGGGGATGTTGTTAAAGCATGCTTTGTGTTCAGAAGCTGTCAACACAGCCCCTTCACCAATTAGTTCTTACATCAAAGAAATACTGTTCGCAGAAATACTAGTAAATGAATTTTCATTGTACAAGGAAAAGATCTTACAAAATACCATGTCCCCAAACTGCCAAAAGTACTTACAAAAGAAAAAACAAAAAACTAGCTACAGAAGTATAGCTCCGTCTGTCTAAAGTCTTTTAAATGACTGTTTAGGAAAAAGAATCTCAAGTAGTCAACACAGAAATGAAATGCATGTCCACAGAGGTCCTCCCTAACCGCAATGCAAATATCTGAGGCAGGGCTTCACAGTTTCCAAAGCATTTACACTGCCTTCTCTAGTCCTCACAATAGCCTTAGGAAGGAAGCACGACAAACGTCATTATTCTATTTTGAAGATAAAGAGGCCCACAGAGTCAAATAATTTTCGAATACAGTTTCAAGCTAGTAAGGGTAGACAGAAAGCCAGAATTTAGGTCTTCAGGTTTTTTCATAAATGCTGCTTCCAATTTTCCACTTTGAGTGAAAAAGACACTTGAAAAACCCAGGAATCTGTATTTCTTTAAATTAGGCTTTAAATTGCCATGCAACTACTCAGACATAATAAATATTCTTAGGATTATGTTTTAAGTATATTAAGAAGAGAAAACACTTCAAAGATCATTAAGTTCAGATCATTCTTAATTTGTGCAAATTACTTACTAAAAGAGAATGAGGGGGAGGATGGGAGACAACAGGGAGAAAAGATGAGGAGGAACCATGACATCACCTTAGGGAAGATGTTTGGAAAATACTCAGAAGTACCTGGAGGCCCCGGGACAGCTGAGTTCCTGAAGTCTTTATGTTTGAAAACACAGAGAACTTTATCTATACTATACCGGCAAAAACATAAACATTTACATCAGCTGTTTTGTGTGACTTAGGAAGTTCTGCAATTCTAGAAATAGTTTTTAACGATTACAAAAATGCTTCAGGATGTATGACAGATTGTTCAATTCGCTCTTCTTCTAAAAGATGTGTTTTGAATGTCATGCTGCACCTCTCTTTAGGGGAGATAGAGCATATGCCCGTTAACCCATCTCACCTTCTTCACTACGCCTGGGCTCCTTTCTCAATGAAACAAATTGTGACCTTGCTGTCCTTGCTGCCTCATTCTACCACTGAATTCAGCCTGCTTCAAATTCTTTTCCATGAACTGCACTGGCATTTCCCAAAGTGTCTACTGAGGATCATCTGTGATATTTAATGTGTTTATGTAAGCAGACAAAAATGAAGAGAATCTTGCTAAACAATGTATAACTAACCCCCTTCCTGGAGAGTCACAACAGGCACTGGCGTGGCTGGTGAAGACTCTAAGGAATCCTGTAGCAGAGAGTCATGTTTGCTTATTTATTTAATTTGGCTTTATTTAATGTGGGATCCTGAGCTGCACCGTGCAGGACCTAGCTCCCTGACCAGGGATCGAACCCAGGCTACCTGCACTGGAAGCGTGGTGTCTTAAACACTGGACCACCTGGGAGGTCCCAAACATGTTTATTTTTGTTTAACTCATCTCACCAAACTGATTTGATTTGTCCCCATTATAATTAGAAAATCTTGAATTACCAAACTGACTATACTGGATCATTTTCAAAGAAACCCAACTCACTATAAATAACGATATAAACAGAAAGCCCAGGAATTTCCCTGGCGGTCCAGTGGTTAGGACTCTGAGCTCTCAGTGTGGGGGGTGTGGGTTTGATCCCTCGTTGGGGAACATGATCCCATGAGCAATGTGGTGCAGACAAAATTTTTTTTCTTAATTTAAACAATCAAGTCCATTATAAAGTCCATTATATATTTTATCAATACATATTTGATGTCACATTGACCTTATCAAATAGTAATTCTTTGGGAGAGGTGTATTAACATTACTTACATTTAAATTTTTTTAAAGAAAATTACTGATTTATTTACTTTTTGTTAGAAGGAGTTTTCTGGTCAACTAAAAACTTGGAACTGAAAGAGGTTAAGGTCTCAACTGACTGAACATGTATGAAAATATCTAAACACAGAGCTAGTACTACTTTAATACCTTTTATCCTTAAATGCTAATTTCTCCAACTGGCTTCTCCAAATTATGTCATCCTCTGTTTTATTGAAGAACATCAGCTTCACTTTCCTTAAAAGAAAAAACAACAATTCAAAAGTACTATTTCAATTATATTTAAAATATGCACGAATGGAAACTCTAGCCATGAATCAGCATGAATGTTTTTCAGTGCCAATTAGGTAATCAAAGGTATCAAAACTAAAGGAATCAAATGGATAAAACAGCTTAGAGGAGAGAAGGAGTAAGAAATGATGACTAAGGGATGAGGACATGTCTGTTGAAGTCCACTGAGTTTTTAATTGATTTAGAATACCTTCTACTAATCTAACAGCCTCAAAAGGGATAGTAATTAAATATAAAATGACATACCTGAGACTGGGTATATTAGTCAAAGCATAATTCAGTACTTTAACCATTGGTGTGAAGCCTGTTCCTGCTGCCAATAAAAACAGATCTTCCAGTTCTTGGAGCTGGCATATTATAAAATTGCCCTCAGGATTGCTTACAGAAACATAATCTCCTACACAATGAAATATACATGAAATCAGAAAAAAAAAAATCAGGAAAACTCAAACAGAACACTAGGAGAAGCAGGTTGCATAATTATCAGAATACATCTCAGTTTTCAAGGAATGTAAGCAGTTTTAAGAATATTTATTAGGCTCCCAAGTATGTCATTATACTCAAATTTTCATTATAATCAAATTAATAATAAGGTTTGATTATACTTATTTCCCAACATTATTTTCCTAAACCATCTGGAGTCTCTAATTTATAAACTACTGCCACAAATTATCAATAAAGACTTGATTGCTAAATTATTGATAAAACTAAGTATTTCAAAAGCAGAGTCTGTGTATACCTGTCTTGCATAGTACAGAGTGGAGAATATATATTCACTACTTACATACTGATTCTTAATCATAGTAATAAACCTAGTAGGAGAAAAAAACTGAAATAGAAATACTTTTTAATATGTTATTATTATCTTTTTACTGTTAATTTTTTAATTACAAAAGTTACATTTCCTTACCAAAGAACATTCAAAAATACACAAATATATAGCAATAAAAATCACTCCTAGATACTGTTAATAATTTGAGAGAATTCTTTAGCCCATTTTATTTTAATTTTATTAGTTCAGTTTATTTTATTCCCTACTCCCTTCACTGAGGTTACGTCATACATTTGTAAAACAGATTCATTTGTCACACTCTGCATTCCATCTGATTCCCTGACATCACCAAACACAAGTTGTAGAACTTGCATTTTCTTCTGAAAGTTTTATATTTTTTTCACATAGTAAAATTCACTCTGCATGGTCTTTGACAAATGCATAATCATGTGTCCACTATCTCAAGAGCATACAGAATGCTTCTATCATCCTAAAAATTCCCCTTTGTATTCAACCCCTCACCTCACCCCTCACAACTATTTATCTGTTCCATTCCTACAATTTTGCTTTTTCCCAGAATGTCATATAAATGGTAAAATTGTACAATTTGTAGCCTTTTGAGCCTAGGTGGTTTTGCACAGCAAAATGCATTTTTAAAATATTATTATCTTATGTACTAATGTTTTCCTAGCTCAGTCTCCCTAGACAAGAAATAAAAACAAAATAAACAAATGGGATGGACCTAATCAAACGTATAGACTTTTGCATACAAAAGAGACTCTAAAAAGAAAAAAAAAAGACAACGTACAGAATGGGAGAAAATATTTGCCAATGATGTGACAGACAAGGACTCAATCTCCAAAATATACAAACAGCTCATACAACTCAACAACCAAAAAAACAAACAACCCAATGGAGAAATAGGTGAAAGATCTTAGTAGACATTTCTTCAAAGAACATACAGATGGCCAATAGGCACATGAAGAGATGTTCAACATCCTAATTATTAGAGAAATGAAATCAAAACTACAATGAGGTACCATGTCACACCAGTTAGAATGACCATCATTAAAAAATATACAAACAAATGCTGGAAAGGGTGTAGAGAAAAGGGAACCCTGCTACTCATTGGTGGGAATGTAAATTGGTACAGCTACTATGGAAAACAGTGTGGAGGTTCCTCAGAAAACTGAAAATAGAATTACCATATGAGCCAGCAATCCTATGCCTGGACATATACCTGGACAAATCAATAATTCAAAAAGAGACATGCAGCACTATTCACAGTAGCCAAGACACAGAAATAATCTAAATGTCTAGCAACAGATGAATGGATAAATGTACATATGTACAATTGAGTATTACTCAGCCATAAAAAAGAATGACATAATGCCATTTGCAGCAACATGGATGCAACTAGAGATTATCATACTAACTGCCGTAAGTCAGAAAGAGAAAGACAAATATCATAAGATGTCAGTTATATGTGGAATCTAATGGCACAAATGAACGTATCTACAAAATAGAAACAGACTCACAGACATAGAGAACAGACCTGTGGTTGCCAAGGGGGCGGAGGTGGGAGAGGGAAGGACTGGGCGCTCAGGGTTAACAGATGTAAACTATTATATATATAGGATGAATAAACAACAAGGTCCTACCATACAGCACAGGAAACTACATTCAATATCCCGTGATAAACCATGATGGAAAATAACATTAGAAACAGAATGTCTCTGTGTGTAACTAGGTCAGTCTGCTGCACAGTAGAGACTGACACAACATGTAAACCAACGATGCTTCAATAAAAACATCTTTAAACACAACTGAAAAAAAAAAAAATAAAACAAGAGCCATTCCGAATTCCTATAAAAACAAAGCGTGATCAGAAACCATACTTGGGGCGCACTACTACTGAATCTACAATCAAAATAGTTGAATAAACTCTTTTCTGGTATGGAACTGATATAATCTCTGTGCACCACTCAGATAAGAGAACTGTCTTTAGGACATTTCAGAAATTTTCAATGTAATATTAAAAATAAAAAATAAAAAAATAAAGCTGTCCATACTTTAAAAAACAATTTCAAATGCTCTGGTTTATTTTTAAATGCTTGGCTGCTCATCTCTTTTCCCTTTCTTGTCCATGGCAGGATAGTAAGAATTGGGTAGTAATTGATGAGTTAAACATTAGAAAGTAACAGAAGCTCCCTGTTATAATTTGAAAGGAACCATGAGATCAGAATATCCTCAAGAAAAAGTCAGCTGTTTGTTTACTAAAGAAGCCTCACAGAATGATATTACCTTCATAACTTCTGTCCACAGTCCAGTCTTTCCAATGTCATAAAATTGATTAGAATCAGGCAAGGACCTGCTGCTGCTGCTGCTAAGTCGCTTCAGTCGTGTCCGACCCTGTGTGACCCCATAGACATCAGCCCACCAGGCTCCCCCGTCTCTGGGATTCTCCAGGCAAGAACCCTGGAGTGGGTTGCCATTTCCTTCTCCAATGAGTGAAAGTGAAAAGTGAAAGTGAAGTCGCTTAGTCCTGTCCGACTCTTAGCGATCCCATGGACTGCAGCCTACCAGGCTCCTCCATCCACAGGATTTTCCAGGCGAGAGTACTGGAGTGGGGTGCCACTGCCTTCTCCGAAGGCAAGGACCTAATACTACTCTAATTCACAAGAGATTGAAGCACACCTGCCAGAATGGCAACGGATTTTCAGCCAGACTACTTGCATCTAGTGATCTGAGCTCCATCCAGGGCGTCTCATTCCCAGGGCAGGAGGATAAAAAACTGGACCATTTGGAAGGCCAAAATAATCATATAAAATTGCTTGATGAACACAGAATTGAAACAAAGTGGATAGTTTGATAAGGTAGCTCCTATAGGTCATAACGGAGTTTCATGAGTTATCACGGTCACGCCAGTGTATAACCCTCTAAGGGGCACCAGTGTCTGTGCCATGAGAGCTCCCCTAGATGAAGTTGAAAAAACACTGACTTTACTATTTCAGCTTTCCTTTTGCATGCTGTAGGCTGACTCTCCACCCTGTTCTCTGATACACAATGTCTACAGATAGGTTATAATACCACTGGTTAAGTTTCCACCTTCTATATTACAATTGTGCTGTCAGTCCTTCAGGAGGTGGTATCACCTTCATCGGATCTGCAGGTATTCCAAAATTCTATAGGTTCACATTTATGTTCAATATTCTGATTTATGTAACCAAAGATGCCTCATCACATCTGTTATATGTTAACTGATGAGCTTAACTTTCAGAAGCAATAAATTTTTTCTATTTCCAAATTTCAACAATCTATTCCACTTGATATAACTACTAATGTGGTCTTAAAGGGGGAAGGGCACATTTATTATTAGGCAAAAGGCAGTGAAAAGTTGAAGACACAGAAAAAGGAGTAAAACAGTAAGGGAGGGAATATCTAAATATTGGTAGATTTCATTATAGTCCCTTTATTAATTCTTTCAGAGTACTTTTATTGAGAGCCCATTATGTGCCAACTGCTCTGCTAGGTATGGGAAATACAAAGATAAGACAGTCTATACCCTTAAACTCAAAGTCCTGTAAATAAGAAATATTATGTATTCTTATCCTAGAGCTATGAACAAAGTTCACAGTTACTGAGGGGTTACTTAGTTACTGAGGGCTTCAGAAGAGGAGTGACGTTTCAAAAAGGAAGTGATATTTTTAAAAAATACTAAAACAAAGGTACTTGACAGGTAGAAAGAGGGTCAGTGGGCATCCTACAAAGCTCATGTACCCATGAATGAGGATGACAAACTTGTGGAGCCTGAGTAGCACAAGTGTTTTGTATAGTGAGAGGTGAAGCTGGAGAGTTCATCAAGGTCTTCATAGGCCATGAAAAGGGTGTAATCAGTTAGGTAATGGAGACCCACCCAAGGTATCAAAGCTGGCAGAACAACATGATTAAATTGATTATCAGGGCAGATATGGATAAAGAACTGGAAAATGCAGATTAATAGTAAGATACCAGTTAGAGGCAACTGAGAAGAGACCAGTTACAGATCAAGAGAGAGGTGATGAAGGATTGATCTAAGAGGTGGCAGAAAGGATGGAAAAGACAGATTAAAAAGTCACTGGGAGGTAGACTCATCAGTAGCCACTGACCAGACTGGAAGGAAGGCAATCGTTGTCTCAGGAGGCCTTAGACAAGAAGAGAAGTGAAGGCAAAGGAGAAAAGAAAGATATATCCATCTCAATGCTGAGTTCCAAAGAATTAGCAAGAAGAGATAAGAAAGCCTTCCTAAGTGATCAATGCAAATAAATAGAAAACAATAGAATGGGAAAGACTAGAGATCTTTTCAAGAAAATCAGAGGCACCAAAGGAACATTTCAAGTAAAGATGGGCACAATAAGACAGAGAAACAGTATGGACCTGATAGGAGATATCAAGAAGAAGTGTCAAGAATACACAGAAGAACTACACAAAAAAGATCTTAATGACCCAGATAAACCACAATGGTGTGATCACTCACCTAGAGCCAGACATCCTGGAGTGTGAAGTCAAGTGGGCCTTAGCAACTATGAACTAATCACTACGAACAAAACTAGTGGAGGTGATGGAATTACAGCTGAGCTTTTTCAAATCCTAAAAGATGATGCTATGAAAGTGCTATACTCAATATGTCAGCAAATTTGGAAAACTCAGCAGTGGCCACAGGACTGGAAAAGGTCAAGTTTTCATTCTAATAACAAAGAAAGGCAATGCCAAAGGATGTTCAAACCACCGCACAATTGCACTCATTTCACATGCTAGCTAGCAAAGTAATGCTCAAAATTCTCCAAGCTAGGCTTCAACAGTATGTGAACTGAGAACTTCGAGATGTTCAGGCTGGATGAAGAAAAGGCAGAAGAAGCAGAGATCAAATTGCCAATATCCACTGGATCATAGAAAAAGCAAGAGAATTCCAGAAAAACATCTACTTTTGCTTCACTGACTATGCTAAAGCCTTTGACTATGTGGAAAATTTTTCAAGAGAATACCAGACAACCTTACCTACCTCCTGAGAAATCTGTATGCAGTTCAAGAAGCAAGAGTTAGAACTGGACAGGAAACAACAGACTGGTTCCAAATTGGGCAAGTAGTAAGTACATCAAGGCTGTATATTGTCACCCTGCTTATTTAACTTATATGCAGGGTACATCACGTGAATCTTTGATTAGATGAAGCACAAGCTAGAATCAAGACTACAGGGAGAAACATCAATAACCTCAGATATGCAGATAATACCACCCTTATGGCAGAAAGCAGAGAGGAACTAAAAAGCCTCTTGATGAAAGTGAAACGGGAGAGTGAAAAAGTTGGCTTAAAACTCAACATTCAGAAAACTAAGATCATGGCATCTGGTACCATCACTTCATGGCATATAGATGAGGAAACAATGGAAAGAGTGACAGACTTTATTTTCTTGGGTTCCAAAATCACTGCAGATAATGACTTTAAATTGAAATTAAACTGAAATGAACATGAAATTAAAAGATGCTTGTTCCTTGGAATAGCTATGACAAACCCAGACAGCATGTTAAAAAGCAGAGATATTACTTCACCGACAAAGGTCCGTCTAGTCAAAAATGTGGTTTTTCCAGCAGTCATGTACGGATGTGAAAGTTGGACCATAAAGAAAGCTGAGCACCGAAGAATTGATGCTTTTGAACTGTGGTGTTGGAGGAGACTCTTGAGAGTCCCTTGGGCTGCAAGATCAAACCAGTGAATCCAAAAGAAAATCAGTCCTGAATATTCATTGGAAGGACGGATGCTGAAGCTGAAGCTCCAATACTTTGGTTACCTGATACAAAGAACTGACTCATTGGAAAAGACCCTGATGGGAAAGATTGAGGGCAGGTGCAGAAGGGGACAAGAGAGGATGAGATGGTTGGATGGCATCACTAACGTGATGGACATGAGTTTGAGTAGGCTCCAGGAGTTGGTGATGGACAGGGAAGCCTGGGCATACTGCAGTCCACAGGGTCGCAAAGAGTTGGACACAACTGAGTGATGGAACTGAACTGAACTGAATGGGAAGACTCAGGGAAGACTCAAGTCTCCAGATGGGGTGGAGGATGAACAGATAATATTCTACCAAGAAGCAAAGAACAGATGAGGAATATGGAAAGAATATGGTGAGACTAAGAGAACACAACTTTGGCTGCAGACATGGTGAGTTTATGATATTTGACAGATTCCACAAGGAAATAACCAAAGGAGAGTATCATATGTGATCCAATCTAGAACAAAATCTAAATTAAAAAAAAATACTAACCAATCTGAAGCTGATCAAGCTCCGGTGTGAAGAATCCAGCAGGGTAGATTTTGATCAAAAAGTAGATGTACATATTGTTGGGAAGAACTGGTTCCTTGAACTCTGAGAATAAGGAATCAGATACAGGTGTATATGGCTTCACAATTTCAGTACCTGGAGGAAATCAAAACAAAGAAATTCAATTCTAAAAATCTAAACAAATGAAGACGAAACATAAAAATGTTATGCTATCATCATATATTTAAAACTGTACCTTTAATGTGAATACAGTTCTAACTATATTCTATATGTATATAGCACATGTCTATATACTCCAAGCCAATGTGTGTTGAAATAATTTTAACAAATCAGTAATTCACCATAATGTAAATAATCTGTTTTTACTAAGTGTGGCATAAAATGATAGGATTTTATGTTAATAAACTTAAAATAACCTTCTATGCCATCAGCATACAAGCTTTGTAATAGGCCACAACAAAAATGACATCAGAAGTTTACACAGAGATACAAGGAGATACTTACACAATAATTTTAATTATACACCAAATTTTTAACAATAAAACCGATGACCAATGGGATCATTTGGGTTCCAGGAAGGCATGAATTTCACTTTTTACTTTGTATTTTTGAATTATTTTAACAATTTATCATTTTATGTATTACTTTGATAATTGAAAAGAACAGTAATCCAACTACTACTAAGAATATAACAATAAAAAACACGGTAAAATTAATAAGAAGCCATGTTATATTTTAGCTAGCCAAAATCTAGAAAGGAGTCAACACATTTGAAAGACCAGAATTTTATACATAGCTCCTTCACATATATGAAATTAACTATGTGTAAATTATATACAATACTTTGACAATAAATACACTGGGGAAGATATCAGTTATTGAATAACTTGGCATTAGTGATGATGAAGAGAAAAACTGAACAGTATGTATCATACACTATATTTATCAAATCCCGGCTGGTAGTCTGTGAAGCTACTTGCTGGAAACACTAGGACTGACATGGGAATGTTACCTTTTGCAGCTTCAACAGGTTAAGAAGATATTAGACAACAGCTGGAAGGGTATTTAAAACAAGTAAACGAGGTAATTTGGGGGTGAAAATAAGGGAAAGAAAATTTATACAGTAAGGAATACATTTACAGGAGCGTCTTATACTGGTGGCACATGCAAGGAAATCATCTATAATCATCCACTCATTTTCAACTTTATGAATTCAACTTTATAAATGACCCTGAACTTAAAAGTGGCTAATAAGAGTTGCTAGTATATGCTTCTGGTAGCTGTCTTCACAGAAGACTGTGTGCTCTGTAACTTCTTTCTTTTAAGGCTTTGTTAATAACAGATTCCCTGGTGGCTCAGTGGTAAAGAATCCGCCTGCCAATGCAGGAAAAACAGGTTTGATCCCTGAGCCGGGAAGATTCCCTGTTGGGGGTAATGGCAACCCACTCTAGTATTCTTGCCTGGGAAATCCCAAGGACAGAGGAACCTGGTAGGTTGCAGAGTTGGAGACAACTTAGCAACTGAACAACAAAAGTAATAAATTACAATGCTGGTGGCGCTGTCCCTGTGACGAGTGACAATTTCTTTGCTCCGCACAGTGATGCCGCATAGCTAGAGTTCCCACTTGCAGGCACCCTGCCTCCACAAAACCAGAATCGGGCTATCACAAAGACCAGCTGCCCAGAAACGTTTCACTAATAACCTACATGGGTGCTTACATCAGTACTGATGACAAACTCCTTACGGAAGAAAATGTTTCTGCAAAGCCTCACCTGTAATAGGTAGCTTGAGGTAAACGTGTTGCCCAACTGGCACCTGAAGATGTGTGCTCGGTGGCAGCATTAAGCAGAAGAGCTTCGTATCATGAGTCACGTTTTCCTTGGAAACTAACTGGCACTTTCTGTAGAACAAACCTAGAAAGAAGTTCATTTTCTCTTAGTGATGAATAAATCAGATAAGAAGTACTCCCAGACCCACTACTCGAAAGCACAGACTCAGCTTTTGCTCTTTAATGAGCTGGAGTTTCACTAACAGGCCTATGACATTAAAAGAAATTCGTCGCTATTTTGAAAATCTTACAGTGTTTGTTTTTTTCCATTTTACTTCCTGACATATCCATTTCCTAAAACCTGTAAATACTTTTGTAATTTGAAAAAACAGCTCTATAAAATGAGTGTTATTTGCTCATGTCTGTTATTATAGCATGTTAAAACCATTACAGTCTAGGAAATGAAAGCCTAGTTTTTTCTTCCTAAATTTACTTTTTAAAAGAATTTCATCCTTTATGCCTTTATCAATAGCTATACAATTAAACTGTAGATGTGAAAAATAGTTAATAACCATCAAAGCTCATTTTAAATTCTTTTCTTATAGAATGGCAAAGTCCTGAAACTCAAGCATTTAAAGTTTAACAATACCAGCATTATTTAATAACTTATAAACATTTCTTTGATAAAGGCAGGAAAATATACATTCTTGTGTCTCTGTATGTGTGTTATACATACACAAACAAAATTTATATGTATATAAATTATAGGACATTTCAACAGTCAAAATATGATTAAAGCAAAAATAAAAAGGTTAATAAGGGTATAAGCTCTGACTATCTGGAAAAATTTAAAGGAAATACTGAAGATGCCAGGTTTTGTACTAAAATACAAATAAAAGGAATCAAGTATTTCTATAAATACTGGAAATATCTGAAATTTATATGCTAAGCTCAGGAAATATCTGCATACAGAGCAAAATAATACCACTGGATTGGAAGATCTTAATAGAAGTTCTGAAAGCATGAATATTTTCACTGGAAAATTCTCCTTTGAATGTAAACAGAATACCAGAGTAGACTAATGACACTGATTTGTTTCATAATTTCCTCTTTTTTATGAAACAGCATTCGCAGAGATGTATTAGGAATTGATCCTAATAAAGCATATTTGGCCATGTGAAGAGTCGACTCATTAGAAAAGACCCTCATGCTGGGAAAGACTGAAAGCAAAAAGAGAAGGGGGTGGCAGAAGATGAGATAGTTAGATAGCATCATCGATTCAATGGACATGAATCTGAGCAAACTCTGGATGGTACTGGAGGTCAGAGGAGGCTGGCGTGCTGCAGTCTGTGGGGTCACAAAGAGTTGGACACGACTTAGCGACTGAACAAAGACAATAACAAAGCATCTTATTATTCTAATTATGCTTTTTTTAACCTAAAAATATTTAAGTAGGTAAAGATTTACTTCAGACCTTAGCATGTGAAGGCCCTACATCGAATAATCAATGGTTAGTAGAAAACTAAAATTCACACAGAATCCTAAGAAACCATTTTGGCCACAGTTTCATCCAATTCTCTTCTTCCCTTTTTGCTTGGTCCCCAAAGACCCTGGTCACTACATCTTTCTACCTGCTACCATGGTAGCTCAGCATGCACATAACCTTAAGAGTGTATCGTGGCCACGGCAAAACTTAGACAAGATCATGGCCAAGGGTACCATCCTAGAGTTATACCAGAAGGCCTAATCCAATGCTAGATTGATGAAGGGTCAAAGGAGCAAGGCTCTCACCCATAAGAAATGAAAGGTTCAGGTGATCTCCTTATCCCATCCTCTAGACCCTTCCTGTGACCCAGAGTGGTAATATTGGGTTGGCCACAGAATTCGTTCAGGATTTTCCATAAGGTGTTATAGAAAAACTGCAACAGATTTTTGGCCAACCAGTATGTGATGAGGGCTTCCCCTGTAACTCAGTGGGTAAAGAATCTACCTGCAATTCAGGAGACCCAGGTTCGATCCCTGGGTGGAGAAGATCCCCTGGAGGAGGAAATGGCAACCCACTCCAGTATTCTTTTTTTTTTTCCATTTATTTTTATTAGTTGGAGGCTAATTACTTTACAACATTGCAGTGGTTTTTGTCATACATTGAAATGAATTAGCCATGGATTTACATGTATTCCCCATCCCGGTCCCCCCTCCCACCTCCCTCTCCACCCGATCCCTCTGGGTCTTCCCAGTGCACCATGCCCGAGCACTTGTGTCATGCATCCAACCTGGGCTGGTGATCTGTTTCACCCTAGATAATATACATGTTTCCATGCTGTTCTCTTGAAACATCCCACCCTCGCCTTCTCCCACAGAGTCCAAATGTCTGTTCTATACATCTCTTTTTCTTTTTTTGCATATAGGGTTATCGTTACCATCTTTCTAAATTCCATATATATGTGTTAGTATACTGTAATGGTCTTTATCTTTCTGGCTTACTTCACTCTGTATAATGGGTTCCAGTTTTATCCATCTCATTAGAACTGATTCAAATGAATTCTTTTTAATGGCTGAGTAATATTCCATGGTGTATATGTACCACAGCTTCCTCATCCATTTGTCTGCTGATGGGCATCTAGGTTGCTTCCATGTCCTGCCTATTATAAACAGTGCTGCGATGAACATTGGGGTGCATGTGTCTCTTTCAGATCTGGTTTCCTCAGTGTGTATGCCTAGAAGTGGTGTTGCTGGGTCATATGGCAGTTCTATTTCCAGCTTTTTAAGGAATCTCCACACTGTTTTCCATAGTGGCTGTACTGGTTTGCATTCCCACCAACAGTGTAAGAGGGTTCCCTTTTCTCCACACCCTCTCCAGCATTTATTGCTTGTAGACTTTTGGATAGCAGCCATCCTGACTGGCGTGTAATGGTACCTCATTGTGGTTTTGATTTGCATTTCTCTGATAATGAGTGATGTTGAGCATCTTTTCATGTGTTTTTTTGCCATCCGTATGTCTTCCCTGGAGAAATGTCTGTTTAGTTCTTTGGCCCATTTTTTGATTGGGTCATTTATTTTTCTGGAATTGAGCTGGAGGAGTTGCTTGTATATTTTTGAGATTAATCCTTTGTCTGTTGCTTCATTTGCTATTATTTTCTCCCAATCTGAGGGCTGTCTTTTCACCTTGCTTATAGTTTCCTTTGTTGTGCAAAAGCTTTTAAGTTTCATTAGGTCCCATTTGTTTATTTTTGCTTTTGTTTCTAAAATTCTGGGAGGTGGGCCATAGAGGATCCTGCTGTGATTTATGTCAGAGAGTGTTTTGCCTATGTTCTCCTCTACGAGTTTTATAGTTTCTGGTCTTACATTTAGATCTTTAATCCATTTTGAGTTTATTTTTGTGTATGGTGTTAGAAAGTGTTCTAGTTTCATTCTTTTACAGGTGGTTGACCAGTTTTCCCAGCACCACTTGTTAAAGAGGTTGTCTTTTTTCCATTGTATATCCTTGCCTCCTTTGTCGAAGATAAGGTGACCATAGGTTCGTGGATTTATCTCTGGGCTTTCTATTCTGTTCCATTGATCTATATTTCTGTCTTTGTGCCAGTACCATACTGTCTTGATGACTGTGGCTTTGTAGTATAGTCTGAAGTCAGGCAGGTTGATTCCTCCCCACTCCAGTATTCTTGCCTGGAGAATCCCATGGACAGAGAAGCCCAGCAGGCTACAGTTCACGGAGTCACAAGAGTCAGACACGACTTACACGACTTAGCGACTAAATTACAATATGCGATGAGACCTCCAGGTCTAAACACATGAAAGTTATAAATCAGACAAATAGCTGTTAAATAAAATAAGTTCTATGCTGTACCCTGAAATGTACCTTCATAATGCCCCTTTAGAAGGCTAGGTTCAAATTTAGGATTCGTGACCTTCTCAGAGTTCCATGCGGGAAGAAGGCAGGGGGACGAGAGCTGCACCCCCAGACTGTCAGTGGCCTGAATCCTGCTCTTCTCAGCCCCGCTGTCTGACCTTGTGTGGATGTGGGGACATCAGCCCATATGTTCAAGCTTATCTGCTTGCTGTCCCCATAACTAGCCTTGGCCACTCCTTGGATATGCTTCCCAGGTGGCTCAGTGGTCAAGAATTGCCTGCCGATGCAGGAGACGAGGGTTTGATATCTGGATTGGGAAGATCCCCCAGAAAAGGCAATGGCTACTCACTCCAGTATTTTTTCTTGGGAAATCCCATGGACGGGGGTGCCTGGTGGGCTATAGTCAATGGGGTCCCAAAGAGTCAGAAACAACTTAGTGACTAAACAACAATTTTATAGGTAGAAGTGGATTTGGGGTCATTTGTGCAGGGAATTCTGGGGCTCCAGATACCCAGAGTGCAGTGATTAAGGAAAGAGCCTCAAATCCAGGGGGACAATTCCTCGCCTTGCACACTCCTCACCCTGTGAGGGATGTGCAGCTGGTGGAGAGCCCTTGTGCTATTCTCCAAGCACGGAATCCAGGGTAGGTGTGCCCTGTGAAAAGGTCTAGGGGCCACAGTGCTTTCCTCTAGTCAAATCTAGTGCACACCCTCCGATGAAAAGACTCATTTTCAGACCTGACAATTTCACCTCTAGCTTTTGTCAGAAAGGATTTGTTCCAGTAAGTCTGCATCTCTTTGATTATACTTAAAACACAAGGCAACTCTGGGCTACAATGAAGCACTGGCTTTCTAGACAGTGAATTAACGCAGTATTCCTGCTATTTAACACGGTGAAATACTGTCAACATCTTTGTGTTAGTCGCTGAGTTGTGTTTGACTCTTCACAACCCTATGGACTGTAGCCTGCCAGTCTCTTCTGTCCATGGGATTTCCCAGGCAAGAACACTGGAGTGGGTTGGCATTTCCTTCTCCAGGGGAACTTACTGACCCAGGGATCGAACCCTGGTCACCTGCATTCAACATCGTACCAATAAAATAGTAAAACTGCCATAATTTCAATGGGACATGCTAACGATAGGTTCTAAAAGACTTAAGAAAGATTTAAGAATGCTTTCGTCTTTCACTCTTTCACTTACACTGTAGAGAAGAGAGAGTCACATAGGCACAGACCCAAAACATGGAGATAAAGGAAGATAAAGCAGAGTTGTTGACCTGAGTCAGAATAATGCTGAT